ATGGGTGTAGTACAAAGCCTCTCTGGTTACTTCAAAGCAGAAATGGTGACATTTTACATAACCATAGTGGATGGAATAATTATTGGGAGCATCTACACATGAAATTAATTTGACTGAATAAACTCTGGTGCAGTTTGTACCACAGTTTATTGCTCCTAGGCACTGTGTTTACATGAGTGCTTGGGACTGCAGCATGTTGAGCCGGGATGGAGTAGCCTTGGCTGGCAAGGGTCTGGAGGGTCAGCCTGCCAGCCCTGGGCTGCTCTGATCTGGCCCAATGTGCTGCAAAGGGGCTGGCTGGGGCACAAGGGTGCCACAGTGCAGGGCTAGCCAACAGGCAGTACCCATACTGAGGCACCCTCATGTTTCAGCCAGCCCTGTCATATCTAAATGTATATTGCAGCTCAGTAAATAATGCTGCCATAAGATAGCAGGATAGTACTTGTGTTAACTTATGTGTCAATGCTGACACTATACTGTGCAGCTAATTAGGCAACTCCGTAGTAAACATCTTGTGTAGATGCACCCACTTCCTCCTTAATGTTCCTCTTCCTAGCCTCCCATATTCCTTTCTCGATTGCTCTATCCTTGCTTACTTCATTTCCCCCTTTTTATGTATTAAAACCAAGCATGTATACCACATGAACCTCATTTTTTTTATTTAAAACTCTTCTTAACAATCTTGCCAGCTCTGATCCCAGGATGCCAGTACCCTAGCTGTTCTCGTGAAGTCCAGTCCCTGAATAGAAGTGTTTTCTGTGAATGCCTCCCAGGGGCTGAAAACCTCAAAGACTTCCTCATATTACCGGTTTTTAAGTCATTTGTATTATTTTGTCCCTTCTTCGCCCTCCTTATCTAGAGCTATGAGCCTGAAGAATTCCAGTGAAAAATCATCTAAGCCTCCACTACTTTAATTCTCTTTTCCAGGCTAGTGTAGTTATCCATGATCTATTCCAGCATGAAGAGATCTCTGTGGCCAAAGAGCACAAGGCTAGGAGCAGTGGCCTCAAGCTGTGCTAGAGACAAATTAGGTTGGGGATTAGGAAGAACTTTCTGACTGTGAGGTTGGTCAAGCTATAGAACAGGTTATCCAGAAAAATTGTGGTATCTCCATCACTGGAAGCTTTCAAGAGCAGATTGGACAGATATGTTGCTGGTATGGTTTAGTCAAGGATGATTCTGCCTTAAGCAGAGGGCTGACCTAGATGACCTTGTGAGGTCTCCTCCAGCCCTATCTTCCTATGATCCAATGATTCTGGTCATTTGTTCAATGAAAGATAACAAAAGACAATGACTGATTGTCCCTGCCCTCTCAGGTTTTTATTCTTCCCTCATGGCCACATCTTGTATTCTTACTCGTGATGGACAGCAAAACTTTATGTTCTTTGGATCTGCTCTGGTCATCTATCTACAAGTAGGTAGATTCTTTTTATTAAAGAGTTCTGAATCACATATGCCTCTTCCTGGTATTGGAGCAAATCTTAGATACTCTTTTATTGTCCCTTTTATCTGTAGAACAGTCTGTCTTGTGCTTCCTCTTGCAAGCTCCTGTATGTCACCCTTGCTCCTCTTTGGGCTTCAGCGTCAGGCTATCTCCCTTAGCTCTTCCTTTCTTGGGATACTAACTGCCCTTCTCTCTTTC